AAAAAAAAAAAAAAAAAAAAAAAAAAAAAAAAAAAAAAAAAAAAAAAAAAAAAAAAAAAGAGAGAGAGAGAGAGAGAGAGAAAATTTAATCTTTATTACCACCCCGAGGTCACCCCGTCACCCCCCCGACACCCCCACACGGCGCGCGTCGCAGCACAGGAGCGGTGCTGGGGGTGCGGACACCCGCCCACATGACCGCAGCCGCAGCCCCCGGAAGGGCCGGGCCGGACCTGCCGGCACACCCACACCCAGGGCCTCCGGCCGGGCGGCAAAGGCGGGATAGGGCTGCCTCCCCCGGGCACGGCGCTCCCGCAGCCGCCTCCCCCGGGCACGGCCCGCCCTCAGCGCAGCGCTCTGGGCGCTCCGAGCGCCGCGACGTCCCCGCACTCGCCGGTCCCGCGCTGCGCAGGCGCGCGGGGGGCGGTGCCGGGGGCGGTTCCAAGGGCCGGGGCCGGGAGGGACCGCCGCGACCTCCCGCGACCTCCTGGTCCCGACCCCGAGCCGCTGGTAGCCGCCGCTGCCGCCCCTGGGGCTGTCTCCGGGGGCGCTGACGGGGGAGGTGGGGACTAGACGGGCACGGTGCCGCCGCTGCCTCGCGTAGGCCACGGTAGAACCCCCCCGGGAGGGGCTGGGGCTGGAGCCTGCGGGGAGGGAGACAGGGAGAGACCGGGGTCGGGGTCGGGGTAATTGGCTGCGAAGGGACGTGTCCTGCATAGGGATCGCCCGCCTGCTCTGAGTTCCCAGCTTTGACAGGCGCCGCGACTGCCCCTGGCGCTGTGCGCCCGTGGTTGTCACTGGGCGTGCAGCGCTCGTTGCCTTTAAAGAGCTTGTCTCGCCTTCCAGCTCTGCGCTGCCTGTCTGTGTCGGCTGTTTGCTGGGCGGGAGTGGGGGCAGGACAGACCCAGTTGCGCCGTAGACCTGATCTCAGAGCACACGAGATGAAACAGAAAACCTGTAACGCGGTTACTTGGTCGGGATGAAGTTGGAAGTTGGCAGAGTGGCAGACCTGGCCTGCTCAGGGTCTCACTGGTTTTGTTTGCACTGGGGTCTGTCGGGAACCTTTTCGTCTAAACGAGGTTATTTCCGCACATTATGGTCAAAGTCTTGCTAGGTGTAAACCAGTCTTAAACTGGATTTTTGAGTCACCCCTACTATATCCTTGTAGCATAGAAAATCACAAGGCTTGCCGTATACCAGCCATCCTGCTGTGGGTTTTTCTTACTAGGATCCTGACATCGGTACTTTGTGAACAAATTGGTTGAAGTTGCAGGATCGCTCCTTCCGCGTTGTTCAGCAGAAGTTGAAGGGGACACTGTATTCACGTTGTTAATGATAAGGGACAGTTTGTTCGCTTGCTTTTTGCATTATTTACAGTTTTTATCCTTCCTGTTTCTCAATGATTGACTTCATGGTCAGCGGTGAACGGCAGGGTGGCAGATAGGGCTGGTAAAAGCGAGAGAGGAGCTACTGCACAGAAGTTCTGCCTGGAACTGTTCCATTGTGGAGTGAATCAGCTGTTAATGCGTTTGTGTTTTAAGTGAGAGGGGTGCGAAAAGGACCTTGTGACAGTATCCCTAATGTCTTTTAAACAGGTTATGCCTAGAAGAAGGTTTCTGCAGTGTGCTTCTATGGTATCCAAGCTCACGTACTGACGCTTCCTTTGTAACTTTATGGTAAAACAGAGTATCGGTTTGGTTACCACATCATCTGCATCCAGACGTCACTTTTAAGAAAATGTGGACTGCTAAAAATCTTTATAGTGCTCAAATACTGTTGCTCCGGTTGAAAGAAGGCAGACTGCATAGTTGCACCTTTCCCAAAACTCATCACTTCTGGATTGGGATTCCAAACTGTTGCACTGTAAGACCATCACATAACAGAGTTAAATTACAGGTAAGTATTTTTGTAATGCTCCGTAGATATAAGTGATGTGCATCAATACAGTGAAAAAATAATTTATTTTAGAATCTACAGAACTAAGCTTTTGATCTTGCAGTGTTATTTATGAATTGAAGATGCCTTCAGTTTTATATAAAGGGGCAGACAGCAGTAGGTGCTGGAGTACCATTGTTTCAGAAGAAACTTTTTGTGTCTGATAGTTTTAAGTTGGGAAGAAATGGTAATTTTCCTCAAATTACACTCCAGGTAATGCTGCATGTTAACTGACAGACTGAGTAGTTAGAGTGACAGTCATTTAGAGAAAAATAGGACCAGAATTCTCTGGAAGATGACTTCCTGATGCAATATTATGCAACAAAAGTGTGGGGAATGGATTGGTAAGGGAGGATAAAAACATAAGAGTTTTATCATAAAAACTCCCCTAGATATATATGGATTTATATAAACAAAAATAGTGGGAAAGGACACAAATTAAAGCTTATTTTGGACACTCACTGTTCCAACTGGCAGTATTTTCCCTTTTCAATGTCTAATGATATTCATCTTTAAAAAAATAAATTGCTGCATGTATAAAGAGCAGCAGTAAAAACCGTTGTGGTTTATTGGGGGCTAAGCAATTGAGAAATTAATCTAGATGATTTTACAACTATTATAATTATTAATCTGCTTAGTGTTAAATAATGTCATCTTATATTTGCTGTTGTTTCTCTTTTTAATAATAATATTTGACTGTGTGATTGTAGGTTTCCAAGGTGAATGATAAACAATCAGTAGTTGATAGAAGAATGGCTACTAGTGCAGAGGGAACTAAAATACCTGTTGGAAAAAGTTCAAGTGGAGCACGTGATGGAAGTCATCATTCATTAGAAGGTATCGAACCTATTGCTGCCCTCTTCTTAAGAAGTCAGCCTTCGCTGCCCAATGTAGACAACTTGTATTCAGAGGCAAGATGATCTCAAATCTTAATTTGAAAAATTTAAATCATGTGATGTGTATATTTTTAAATTTTAAGGGGATTATATGCAATTTTTATAGTTTGCAAAGACTTGTATAATTTTCCTAAGTTTCTTAATGGCTGATTAGATTGTGTACTTATTGTTTTGTGTTATTATTATTATTATTTTAATGTTTTTTGCTTCAATTTATCAAACTATTACATTCACTGAAGGCTGTGAGTGGTTTGTGAAGATGCTAGTGAACTTCCTGTTATAAATGTGAAAAAACAGTTAAAAATTTCTGTGCCAATGTTGATTTTTGATTCAGGTAAATCAGTAGTTACACTTATGACCTCTATTTTAGCAATGCTGCCTAGCTAGAGAGTTCTTTCTGTGGGTTTGCTTGTTTTGTCATTCTTCACTAATAGCTAATACTCAGATGTGCTGTTATGCATCATACTTTTTAGCTCCTGTGCTTCAGGGTGTTTGGTCATTTGCATTCTATGTATATTTAGTTTTTGTTTGTAAAGGTTTTTTTTATTCAGGTGCTTTGGGCATTTTCAGCTTTTGTTTACAAGTGGAATGACAGGGAGGTAGTTATGACAGGTTAAGACCCTGAGATCATACAATATTTATGTAATTACATCGCTCAGGAAACAGCCACATGAGAAACTGTTGTGCTATTTCTTGTGTATGACAATCAGGAAGACAATACCTGTCCCAAAAAATCTGTATGGTACTGTATTGTAGTTCTTCTGTACAGTCTTCTCTCCTTGCATATGTTCTCTTGAATGTTTGCATTACAAATGGATGAGATGCTGCTGAGCAAAAAGCCCCCACCCCCCAATAGATTTTTAATCACCAGTGAGGTTTTAAATTTTTTTCCCTGCAGATGTGGTAATCTTTTAAAAGACTCTTAGGTTTATGTTTATTCTTGAATGCCCCTGTGTTATCTGTAAAGTAATGAGATTGAAGTGCCCCAATGTTCTTCTCATTTCTTCTTGTACATATCTTGTCTGAAACTTCTGTTTTTTTTCTTGGAGCCAACAGAAGCATTCCTATCCCCTTAGCCAGCTGAAGTCCTCATAGTCTGAATTTTGCCAATCATGTAAAATGACAGCATTTTTGAAAAGCAGTGGCAAAAGTGTTTGCTATATCCTGTTTATGTCATATGTCTACGGTATGTGCACTGTCCAGCTGAAATGTACTTGTGCATCTTTTAAGGTTCAGTGAGTTTTTTCTTAAGACATGGTGATATGATAATTTTGCATTATAGGTATCAATATCTTTAATAGTCACAACTTGTGTTGAAACCTCTGTTTGTTCTGAAGTCTTGTGGAAGAGGTGTTTCCTACCATTTCTAAGATACAAATTTTTCTGTTCTTTGCTCAGGCAGCTCAAAGAAGTGGTCTATTTTCAGATGTGACTGCTCCTATTTTGTATAAGAAGTTGTCAGGGAATAGTCATACTGTAGACTTAATTAAATTTCTCTCTGTTTCCTCTTTGGAGTTATTATAACCCTACTATTCTTTTTGATCAAAATGGCAGTCATCTACCAGATCATCAAAGCAAAAGACATTTTTGCATCATTCTATCTTTGAAATACACCATTATAATTTGCAAATCAAGTGATGCCATGACATACTTGCAAGAATCAAAAGAAATGAGAAAGTTTATATTCTTATAAAAGTGAGTGTTTTTTAACAGTTTTCCTTGACTTGAAATCTCAGCGCTGTTTTTTCTTCTTGTGTGTTCGTCTCTCACTGAGTGCTTTTGTCAGTCAAGTAACTGATGTGAATACTCATTCAATAATCTCTCTTTTTGTCTCTTGGGTAGAAAAATGAAGGAGGCAGAGAAGTATGGGATCTAAGTGTTAAGAAATTAATTCCCATCAAAAAGTGAAGTGCCAGGTATCCAGACACTCAAAGAGAACAGAGGTTACTCCCAGTAAAAGATAATTAGATAGGACTAAGGCTCATATAAGAAGCTACAATTTCCTCATGAAGCCATGTAAGAGAAGGCATGGATATCTGACTTTAGTTAGTATATGTTCAGCAGTTTTTGGTCTGAGATTCAAATAGATTTTTCAGTTCACATGGCCTCTTTTCTGTTGTTGCTTTAGAGAAAATATTCCAGCCAGTTCTGTATACAGTGAAATGTGTTTCCATATTTGTAGAGATTTTTTTTTCTGAAAAAATCTTTCAGTCTAAAATTTCTTACTGAAACTATGCTTTAGATACTCTTTAGTTCTCATATTTTTTTGATTTGTGAACCTTTTAATTATTTTCCAGAAGGGAGAGATATTTTTTGGAGTATAAGCCTTGTAGAAGGCTTGGATGTGTATATACATGAACAAAACCACTACACTTACACTGCATTTCTTAGTTATATTTCATAGGTCCCTTAGATGTAATTATTTGCATTTGTGAACTCATATTTCACATATTTTCTGACCGATCAGCTATGTAAATGTAGTCCTTATTTCACATAATGTTTCATATTAGTCATGCCTTGACCTTGAGGTCTGTTTTAGACAGAAATGGGAATTGATTCTCCCATG